AACAGATCCGCATCCCACGCGTCCCCTCAGCCCAGCGCAGCCAATGGTGCGGACGTGACGTCATTGTCGCAGGCGGGACTTCCGACTCGCAGCTTCCACGTGAACCCACACCGGAAGCGCGTTTCCTGTAGCCCCGGCAACAGCATCTCCTTTCTACTCCCCCTCTGTTTCCGACGAAAAGTAAGCCCTTGCTCGCCCACCGCCCAGGATCTGCAAGCTACGTGCCCACGAGGTGACTTCGGGGACCGCCGGGTTTCCTTTGGGGAATGAGGGAGGAGCCTAGAGGCCCCGGAGGCCTGGCTTTCTCTGATACGGGGAGGGCTGAGGTCTTGGCTGTCACATTGTAATTATCTTCATCCCGCGGCAAAAGGTGGGACCAGAGGCCCAGGAGATTCCTAAATCATTGCAGGTTAATTGTGAGAGGAGACCAGTTCCAGAGGCTCTTAACTCCACCGTGCTTCCGAAACACTGGACGACTCTTAAGAATTTTGATGCCTGGGCCCCTATCCCAGACCTGAAAGCTAATCTCTAGAAGTTGGGCCCAGGCGTCGGTATTTTTAAAAGTTCCCCAGGTGATTCTGATGTGCCGAGAACCACCATGTTTAGGTCTCTAGGTGAATTCGTATTTTGGCAACCCGGCTGAGTATCTGAGCCTTATCTTTGGAGAGATGTCTAGGATGTTGGCCTGTCCACTCAAAAATTAGTGGTTTCTTTCTTTTCCCTTGCACTGTAACCTCATTGGGAGGCCAGAGAGTTTTGGGTAGAAATTATCTTGAGAACATCTGGCACCTGGGGTAGTTTATGGACCTTATGTCTTTGCTTACTTTTCTTGATCAGTAATGAACTGGAGCTGCAACAGTGGCCAGCGAAATGCCTTTTAGCTCTGAAATTCTGCTATTCCCTTAGTACGATCGGATGCTTCTTACTATTTTTTTTCAGGAACAATTTTTAAACTTGTTTGACAGACTAGGCTTTGTATTCAGCTGTTTTTCACCTTAAGTCAGAATAACATTACTTGAAAAATCTAGACTAAAGATTTAATAACACAGGCAACCCTTCTGGGGTTATTTACTTATTTACTTTCATGGCTCCCATGATTATGGGATGAGAGATACCCTTTAAAAATACCATTTATGGGTGGGTTCGGTGACTCAGCCTGTAATCCCAGCATTTTGGGAGGCCGAGGAGAGTGAACGAACTGAACCCGCGGGTTCGAGACCAGCCCGGGCAACTTGGCGAGAACCCATCTCTACAATAAATCAAAAATTATCCGGGCATGGTAGCGTGCGCCTGTAGTTCCGGCTACTTGGAAGGCTGAGGCAGAAGGACAACCGGAGCCCAGCAGGTCCAGGCTGCAGTGGCCGTGAGTGTGCCACTGCACTCCAGCCTGGGTGACAGAGTGAGACTCCGACTCAAAAAAAATGTAACTAAAAATAAAAATACCATTTGTATAGTATAGTTTATCAAAGTAACAGTCCCTTTGGGATTTTGATGTGAATAGAGACCATATTTTTTTCAAAGGACAGTTATTTGGTAACTTTGGATAAGCATAACTGAGTGCAAATTCACAGGTGCATAAATCCCCTCTGTGTGTTCATTGCTGTACTAAGAAAGTATACAAACTAAAGTTGCAGAGAGAAATTTTCATTTCTAAAACTGTTCTACAGATGGCAATGGTTTATTTTGGGTTTTCTAGGATCCAACATTTAAGGATAGGGTGAGATGAGAAGGATGGGGGAAAATTTGAACAATTAAGGCTACAGTGTAGGTTGGAGAGTTTACAAGGTACAGAACCTTTGGAACTACTTTTCTACAATAGGAAATTCAGTCATGGAACAGTTAAACAAGTGAAAAAAGAATGTAATTGTAGTTGATCAAAGGCCAGATGAATTGAAAATATTCTTGAAAACATAATGTATTTAAACATTGCCTTTTTGAAAAGATTTGGTGCTTTATAGTCAGTTGTTTGAGTTACTAGCTCCTCAATGATTTTGAAGAGTGGAGGTAGTAGGAGAAAATGTCATCAGGAAATAACAGACAAGTTCAACAACAATTTCAACAGCATCCAAGAGCATGAAATATTGGCTATTTTATACTTAAAGGAAAATAGGAAACTGAAAAGAAATAGATTGTAGGGTTCTACATGCCTACAAGTAAGTGATTAAGTGCCAAATGAATGAGGCATAGTGAGTGCCTATAAGGTCAGAAAAGAGAGAGATTAATATGAAATTACCAGGAATATGTTTATAGAAAGAGTAAACTTGAAATAAGACTCCTGAAATGTACTAGTAGTTGTAACCACCTTAAACTAGCCGTGGTTTTTACTGATATGCTCTTAATTTCCAATACCTGCCTATTCAACCCTTTATGGTCACACTAGATTTTGAAGGGAACTTATCTGTTTCTTCTTTTGAATTGTATTAATGTTATGTCATTCTCAGTTATCCCATTGCTGATTGTGTTCATGAGTCAGAGGGTAACTTTGTTCCTGGCCTCATATTTCACTTTTGATTCTGACGCTTGTCACATGGGGATTCAGAGAACTTGCAAATAAATCCATTCACAAATCCATCACTCTTGCTGACATCTTAAACAATGCCCTTCTGTGGATGGAAAGTAATTTGTATTTTTTAAAATATTTTTTAACTCCATCCTTTCAGTCTTATTCCTTCCTCATCCTATGCCTTCTTTATGACAATACTTCTTGCCACATCCAGAGGAGGATAAATCAGAATTTGGGGTTGAGGGAATGAAAAGGAAATAAAACTCAATTTTTTGGCTCCCTCACCCCTTAGTTTTAACTGTGGCTGTTATAGATGGGAAGGTGCAGGCTTTTTGAACAAGGTGGCATATGTATTCGTAGCAGGCCTGTGTCCGGCCGAAGGATAGTTTGGACTCCTGCGGGTGGAAGAAGGTCATTTGGACTTGAGCCATCTTTGATGTTCAACTCACTAAGAAGAGATCATGAAAAGCCACAGGAGGGAGCCCGTGAGGGCATCAAGCCAAATAAGCTTGCCAGCCTCAGCAACCAGCCAGGAATGGGGCAGTGCTGCCCAAGTAGGTGGGGCAGGAAGCAATGCCCTTAAAAAACCCCATTGTATTTTTTATCTTAGTTGAGGGAGTTCTTACTGGTGTGTGTATTACTGAAAGCTTTCTTCTCTGACAGGGTTATTATTACATGTACAGAGAGAGATTCCTGAGAATCACATATGACTCAGTTTATGTAATTCAGATTTTTTACCATACCTTCATTAATTTTGCTGCAGTCTCCAGCACATCCCCTTCCTTCTACTTTGAAACAGTGTGTGGTGAAGGCCTAACTAGATCCCCCAAATAACCTGGTCGGCTAAGAGAACCAAATCTGTGGTAGTCTTATAGGAAAGGTTTGACTTTAGCTGGAGTAGTCTATTTCATGATTGACTTTTGATGTATTTCTTTGCAAAACCAAAGCAGGTGAGTTTTCATGCATTTTATTTTTAGAATTCTAGTGAAAAAGAAAGGAAAATTTAGTTACAGAGTATGCATTCTTGTTTTTAGGGGAATTTGTATTTTTATTTTATCTGGTTGCTATGACATGTTCTTCCACTGATATCCAATTCAAATAACATATATGATATCACTACCTCTCAACAAAACTACTTATTTGTGGAATTTTTGGTAACTTGATGGAAATAGTCAATTTTATCCATTGAAAACTTCAAAGCACTTATCTGCTATTCTTTACTTATATTTATGCATTAAAAATATATCTGTCTGGGTAAGCAGATGCACTGAAGAGTAAATGCATTTTTTTTTGGTGAGGTTAGATGGGAAAATATATTGTTCAAAGCTTGGAGTCTGTCTGCCTGTAGGCCTTGTCAGTGTTTAGTGAATGACCTCAACCCTGTTTTTTTCCTTCCTTCTTCCGTGGTTGAGGATAGACAATGAATGGTCTCTGTACTAGCTTGGACTCAGATGGGTGGTGGCCATTATGCCATTGTGCTCACTTGGGGAGGCTGCCCGTCTTTAGAGCTGTGAATCCCAGCCTTCCCTGACATTGCCATTCTCTTTTATTTCAACTCCACCAATCCATTAGGAGAAAAGTTACACTGTTCAGTCCATGGAGGCTTATGCCATAAAAGAGTAGGAGACACACCCAGGGAGATGGGGAATAAAAGATAAAATTAAAGATCATTCAAAGGACATCTAAATCTGTTGCAAACATAAGCTTTCTTTTCTTTGAGGGGGGTGGTATCCAACAGTGTTGCTACAATGTCTACAATTATTTTAATGTTGGCTTTTTGGAAACCCATGCATTCTTCTTAGGTCCTTAAGCTCCCTGTGTAGAGAAAGTATCCAGCTTTAAAAAGTTAACAGGACCCATTTTAGAGGAAGTCATCTTCCCTTGGGAGCTAACTGATATTAACCAATGGCTTAGCAAGGAAGAGTATGTATTTCTTTCAGGGCATAGATACTCAGAGATGTGTCCTGCTTTCAGAAATCTTGGCACTATGTGAGCCTTCTAAGCCCTGTCAATCGATAGAGTTTTGCAGAAGATTTTTTGTTAAGTTTTAATTAGGTCTTTAAATGTCCATAAAGATCTTTAAGAAATGGTTAAATTTCTTTATTTAGTCACGGCGACTATTTTTTGGTCACAAATATTAGGAAGTGGTCACCAAGATTGCTGTTTGACATACTCATGGTTTTCTTGCTTCCACTGTCTTACTCTGAGCCTAATAATTTATGAAACGTGAGAATCACAAAGTTCTTCCACTGATATCTAAGTGGAAAGTGAGGAGCAATTAGAATGCTCAATATATTGGGAGCAGAGTCTATACAACTTAAAAGATGTGTTAACATGAAGCAGTGCCCCATGGCCTGTTTTTTTGTACTTCCAGGAAGTTAGGAATTGTTTTCACATTTTATTGTTTGGTGTGTTTTCTGACATTTGTTTTTTAAAAAACAAAGAATCTGAGACTATGTGACAAAGACTATGTAGCCCACAAACCTAAAATATTTACTATCTGGCTCTTTACTGAAAAAAGTTTGCTGACATAAAATAACAAGAGTAATACTGGAAATACCAAGCTCAAAATATGCAAGTTGCTATTCCTTTAGATATTTTTTAATACCTTATCTTATTTGACTTTTGACTTTTGAGAGATTAATTTGTGATTATTCAGGTCATTTGTTCAAACTGATTAATTTGAATGTAGAGTTTCAGGAATCCTATAAATACTTAAAATGTGGAAGAATATTACAAATAGGTTTTGGGATTTGGAGAGAGAAAATAAAGCCAAAGGTGAAATGAGTATATTATCCATACAACCCCAGGACTCTAAACTTACTGGAGGATGGCAGCAAATGTGATTATAAGTATCTCAGTGGCCAAAACTATGAGGAAAGCACAAGCAAAACAAAACAAAATTGCCTACAAATTTGCCTGCACTCCATCATTATAAATTCATCTTTCCTTAATGGCCCGGGTCTAGCACCTTAGCTAAGTCTAGCACCTTAGCTGATGAGTTACATATTTTACCAATAGTCTGCACTCTGGGCTGAATCTGAATTGCTTCAGGTTCAAAAGTTGGAATTGGCTTTCTTCAGTCATCTCAGCTGGATCTCCTGGCTTCTTTCTTGCAGAAGTGCTCAGGGTGTGCCTGGGTGATGTACCATGGCAGCCCTTCTACCAAATTATTTGTTGGATCAAAGTCATAAACAACCTCTCCTCAAATTAGTGCTCTCTCTCTCTTTTAAATCACAGCCATTGACATTTGAGCAGCGTGGATAGCATCATGGATTACCCTTGAACTTCTTAAATAATAGTCTTGTTTATTACACGTCTCTAAACTTGTAGCTCTGCAGAGTGGAGCCTCTTTCAGATTTTTCAGAATGTTGGTGCTACGACCTTTATTGTCACACTGGATTTTCCCAATTACAAATAAAAACAGGATTTGGTTTACAGTAGTGTTCAATCACAGTGGTGTTTATTACATATCTGAGGCTGTCAGACTTCTCAATTAGAGATAATTGATGTTTACGTTGACCTGATTCTAAGTATGTCTTGATAGGCATAGAAAGAAGTCTAGATTCAAAATTCTTAATTTTCAGAAGACATGCAGATGTCTCCTAGCCTTTTCTAATTTAATTCTTTTGCTACTTGTTAATCTATCAAACAATTTTGATTAAGATACACATGGAGTTCACTTAATGTTATTATGTGCTACAGGCTCTCAGAAAGCTATTCAGATTTCAGTAATAGAAATATAAAACCTGGTTCTAGTGAATTAGCCACTTAAAGGCTGCACCTTACATTGTAGCCCTCAAATATGTACTGATTTTGACTGTAATTTCAGTTGTGTTAGTTTTACTTCTTTGAGTGGCAAGCCACCTAAGTATCAGTCTTTCTATTTCTTCAGTAGCCCGTAAAGCATATAGCAGTTAACTAGGTTTTCAGGTAACTGCTCATGTTTTAAACCTTTAAGTTATAGTTTTAAAGTAATGTGAACTAATTTGCATTGCATTTGTTAGCTTTTTGCCAGTTTACAGTCACTGCATATGTGCATATTCGTGAATGTAGGGTAGGGAGCAGGAGTTATGAGTTGTGTTTAAGATAAATTTACAGGTCATGACAGCCCTCTTAGAAATACCCTATTTGAACGTTTATTATATTTGAAAAGAGTGTGAATGGTTTTCTTTAGGCTGAGTCTTAAAAGATAGAGGTGGTCGATTTAGCATCTCAGTTTTTAACATAAGCATAGCATAACATCTGATGGAGATTACAAAACAAATTAACCTTATTTCTTAAGGCTTGGAGATTTTTGAAATTTTTCCCTATAGTTAAGTGAAGTAGAAAAAATAGGACCCCTTCAGTGTCTGATTTCCAGCGTTTCACAACCTAAGAAGTTGTTTGTTCAGCATTGCACAGTGTTAGTGGTTTTGTCTCACAGAAGCTCGAATTCTCATGCATTTTAGGATATATTTTTTTAACTTTTTAAAAAGTACATTCTGGTGTAGGCTGGCATTTTAGTTTAGTAGCTCTGAACCCCTGAAGAGAAAAAAAAATCAAGAAGGTGAAGTTGCAGATTAGACTTTACCTTTGGGTATTTCGTGCAATGAATCAGTAGGTTGTAGGCAAAGGAGCACATCTCAGCAGAGCAATGCCATTTGGCAAGGGCAGTCCATGTGGTACCTCATGGAGAGTCTCCATGGAAGTTTCTCCTGTGAAGAGGTAGATGGTTAGGCAAGGAGAGTGTGGTGTCATGCACTAGCTGAAAGGTATGTATTGCAATCAAAACCAAATGAGGCCCTTTTGGGGACTTAAAGCTCAGAGCACAGCTGAGGCTGGACAGGTGTCTTGTTCAAGTGGCCTCTCCAAGTCCCAAACCTAAGGCAAGACCCAACAGAGGTTTGTGGTCAGTTGAAAAGGTATATTCTACTCAAGCCTCAGGAAAATCTAGGGCTAATTTAAATAGGCATTGGCTGGGTAAAAGATGAGTAAATAAAGCAATAGTTGTAAATTTTTAGTTCATGTTCTGTATATTATTTTGTATATACGTACTAACTACTATATATTTATATAGTCATTTTATAGGGAAACAAATAATTGAATGCAAACCTATACAAGGGTCTTTGACTCATTTAACCATACCTACAGGAATCTGTCCTTCTCAGACCACAAAATCATGACCCAAGTCCCAGGGTCTCATAACTAACTTTGCATGAAGGTCAGTCTTGGCCATTGCCTTGCTAAGCTGTGGTGTGGCCATGTGCTCTGTGAGCTATGGCTAGGACATTTTTCCTGACTTTGGCCCCCTCCCCTGCCTTGGGGAGGTGAATCTCCTCTTGTTCTTTTTCTCAAATTTACTTTCTAAATAAACTATATTTTCTAATCTAAAACACAAAAGAAGAAGGTCAGTCTTGGTACTGGGAAGAGATAACCTGTCTGGAGTTCCCTTGCAAACCACCAAATAGCCACAAACATCACACAGCTGTACTGATCAGATGTTCACACTATTGTTCTTTCCTAGCTCCAGCACCCACTTGGACTTTCACGATCAGAGATGGCAGCAAAGGTAAGATATTTTTTAACTCCTAAGACAAAGAGGTAAACTTTAATGTCTAAACTTTAATGTCTTTAAAGTCTTGGTATTCTTATTCCATGATGAAGAAGACTGAAGAAATATATCAGAAAACTAAAAGTAAAAGCACATTGAGTGCATTCCTAGACATCACTTGTCCCAGGCATTGAGGGGCGGGTCAGGCCAGCAGGTTACTTTAGAGGGCAGAAAGGGAGAAACCAAAGTCTGTTAAGCTTATCAGTCCACATGGTTCTTGGCAGGCCATGTCTCACTTGGAACTAGCCATTTAATTATAGTAGAGGACCAAGATGATAAACAGGGCCCCACCTTTCTCTGCATCTTATCTTAAAACAATCATTATCCTCTGTCCCCACATTATAATGGTCAGTAGCTTTAAACTAATTGGTCTGTGCATACCTCATGTACACAGACTTAGCAAGTGTGCCTACACTTGGTGTCCATTGTGGGCATGGACCTACCTTATACGTTTTTGGGCCTGGTAGCATTCTCATGTAGAGTAGGTATTTAGCAGACACTGAGTAAATACCTGTTGTCTGGCTGATTAAACATTTGAAGATTTCTCTTGAAGATGGACTGTTTGGTGTCTACCTTGCATCTTCTTTCATTTTGTAGGCATCAACATCAAAAGCTGCTGAGTCTTGGTATTCTCATCCAGTGTATGCAAGATACTGGCAACATTATCATCAAGCAATGTCTTGGATGCGAAGCCACCAGAATGCCTACAGGAAGGCCATGGAATTCTATTTCAGTCTTTCAAGTTACTTCCCTCCTGAGTTTCTTCCCCAAAGCTCGTATGATAATGAGGCTGGATATCCTCAGTCCTTCTGTGACCAAATGGCCTGGGAAGACTCGCACTGCAGTTCTTCACATTTCAGAATGTCTGGGCAGTATCCATGTGACAACAGTAGGATCCAGGCATCCAAAAGAGAAGACCAAGCTCTGTCTGAAGAGGAAGAGATGGAGACAGAGTCAGATGAGGAAATAGAATGTGACCTGAGCAATATGGAAATCACCGAGGAACTCCGCCAGTACTTTGCACAGACCGAGAAGCACAGAGAAGAACGACGTAAGTTCAAGCCTCTGTCTCATCTTGCTACCTTGCCTTGTCCTGACTTTTGCATTTTTTCTTCCCTAATATATAAAGTTATTTTATAAGTCTTCATTATAGGTAACATTGCAAATCAAGTCCCAAGCCTGGAAATGCTGCAGCGATGTTGCACTTCAATTATGTTTGTTTTCACAGTTGTTTTAGTATAGGGCTTTGTTCTAGTTCCAAAACAAAACTTATCCTAATAATATTTCTACTATTTCTTAAATGTTAGACACTCTACCAAACAGAGAGAGAGAGAGTGTGTGTGTGTGTATCTGTGTGTGTGTATTCCTAATCTATACAACAGTCTCTCAAGGTATTAAACCCATTTTACAAATGAGGAAAATGAACCTTAAGGCTAATTGACTGGTTCTGTGGTACACAACTAGTCATTTTCTGTTAGGATTCAAAGCAAATCTCCCTGCCTCCACTTCTTCCTCTACACCAGGACTTGTCCCTATAACTACTAGGTTCCTAAAATACTCTTGCCATTTCTCTGGGACACAGCTCGAGACGTCCCTAGTGCTACAGAGCTCCCAGGTCTTAAATAGCTTCCTTCAGAGTAGAACTCAGCATGAACCTCCACAGAATAACAAACTCTCTGGCACTTACAACTTTCCTTTTTGGTTCTTCATTGAGGCTCTGTCCCTGGGGTTAGAGAATAATAATAAAGGTCTTATACCTTTTGTCAGAAAGCAGGAAATTTCTTTTTTAAAATTTCTTACTACCTTGCTACAAAGAACTAGAACTGCTTTTGTGCTCTCTTTACTATAAAAATTCACCAGACCATTTATATTTTAAGTACCTCTGACAGAGATATACAAATGCTTTTCTCCCTATTATAACCAGTACCAATATTTTAGTGAGCTCTAATTGTACTATATTTCACCTAGAATTTTCTAATAACGCAAATGTAGAAGCCTGGAAATGGGAGTTTCATTTCCACCTTAAATTATCTGCATTTTCCTAATGATGGGCTGGCTTTTATTGTTCCCTACTGGATGCCAGGAACTGAGCAATGGGCTTTGTTTAAAGTACCATGTTCTTTAGTATCTTTACCTGTGATTCTTTACTGAACTACTCTTTCAGGGTTGTTGTTTTTTTTTTACTTCTTTTGATTAAAATGTTGACTTCTTTGATGCATATTAGAAAGTATATCAGTATATCCAAACAGGTGTTTTTAAAATAGTACTTTCTTTTACACATAGAATACCTTTCCTTGATTTCCAGAAATGAATTTCACCTTTTTTCAAAATACACATATGAAATAACCATTAGTCTAATTTAATTTAAAAGTATATGACAAATGAGGGAGAGTAAGCATTGGAGCATGCTCACGTTTGGTTGGAATGCTATTTGTTACAGCTCTTGAAAAAAAAATGTGATGGAGATAGAGCTTATTCTTATGGTCCTTACCAGAAGGTAGAATAGGATGTTTTTCTCGCCAGAGATTGATACTTCTATGATGGAAGTAGTAATTGAGAATGGAGACAAACAAAAACAAAACAAAGAATGGAAGCAAACCCCAGTCATCTAAAAGGCCAATTTGAATTATATGCTGATTAAAAATAAACCTGAGTTATTCAATTAAAAGTGAATGTGAATGAAATGAAAATAAAATAATGAAATTAGTCCTTGCAACCAAAGAAAGCAACGTAAGCAGTTCAGTTACAGATATGGTTCACAGCCAGTCCTGTTTCTCCTCTTGCCATTGTCAAGTAGAATTCTAGGTAGGCAGGCAAAGCCATGAAAATTACTTGCTAAGTCCTGCCTGGCACTTAATATTATTTTGAATGAAGAATGAAGTCTTTTAGTACTTATTATAAGCCTCAACTCTAAGGTTGGCAAATCTTATTCCATAGAGTGCCACACTTCCGGTGATTCTGTAGAATATTTTACAAACTGAGTTAGACTTTGCATGCTTTATTTATTTACTTATTTATTTGTTTATTGCATGCTTCATAAACTTACCAAACTTCATCTCTTTGTTGGATATTATTCTCAAATCTGCTTAGTTTAAGACTCCAAATTACACTATTATCACTGTTCTAGGTTGAATTGCATCACTCCAAAAAAAATATGGTGGAGTCCTAACCCCCAGTACCTCAGAATCTGTGACCTTATTTGGAGACAGGATCTTTCCAGAGGTAATTGAGGTAAAAGGAGGTCATTAGGGGGACTCTAATATTATATGACTGGTATCCTTATAAAAAGGGGAAAATCTAGACAGAGAGACAGACACACACATAGGGAGAATACACATGAAGATTGATGTTACGCTGCCACAAGCCAAGGAATGTCCAGAAACTGGGAGAGAGGCCTGGAACAGATCCTTCCCTAGTACCTTCAGAAGGTTTATGGCCCTGTGGACACCTTAATTTCAGAATTCTGACCTCCAGGAACCATGAGACAATAAGTTTCTGTTGTTCTAAGTCACCCAGTATTTGGGACTTTGTTATGGCAGCCCTAGGAAAAGCATTCAGTCGCCCTGGGAGAATTTTATTTGTTCTCAAATGCAACCCGTGGTGGACATAAAGTAAACCACACAGTTCTTGTCATCTCTGTGAAGAAAATGTTTTACATATTTGTTTTACCGTAATTATAGCAAACCATCACAAAAGGGAATTTTAGGAATACCTTTGCAACTTTGTCTTTAACCTCACTCCCCAGTATTCACGTTATTGCTAGTGACAGTTGACAGAGGCAACTGTGGTGGAACTTCTGAAATCACAGGGGTCCAGCCTTCTTCCACTACTCACTAGCTAGAGGCCCTCATCCTCCTGTGAGCCCCCTTCATTGTCTTTGCCTCAATTACTTCGCCGTGAAATGGGATCCTAATTAATTGGTGGTAATTATGAAGATTCAATAGATAATATGAGAGGTTATAGAATGGTATGTAGTCAGTGCCCAAGAAATGTTAGTTGTTACAGTTAATTGCTAGTCATCCATCCTTTAACATGGATTAACTGTAAATTGGGTTTGCTTTGATACTGTTTGCCTTGATCAGTGCTTGATTGAGACTCTATATATTTTTAATAAGATGTTCTGATTCACAAAAGTCATATATTTCTACTCTAGGCAGCACTTTTCAAACTTTGAAACTGATTTAGAACATTAAAAACATGAAGGAATTAAAGTTTTGCTGTCTGTCAAATTTAGTCTTTAACACAGTTTTTAGTTCTGTTTCAGGTTATTCTTGCTTAATATATTTAATATAGTAAAACATTTAGACTGGGAAAATGAACTTACTACCATATTATTAATAATGGCAGTAAACACAACAAGCTTTTGATTCTTTGTTCTTTTAAAATGTGTAGTTATGGTGTGAGTCAAAACTGCTTGTCCTAAAGTCTCTGTGATGCTCTTATGTCCTGCAGACTTCACTGAATGCATTAGCGGGTCCCTGGGAGATGTGAGAATTGTCTGGCGAGGGTGAGAACAGTCTATGCTGTCAGGCTCAAATCTAAAAACTTTCTCTTTATTAGAAGAACCTGCCAGGGCCTGATCCTGCACGAGTAAGAAAATAATGGGCAGCGAGCCACTAGCATTATTTTTTTCAACAGCACTTTCAGTGGGTACAGGAAGAATATGTGTTCCTTCAAGCAGTAATGAATGATGGAATTCATATGTAAGTAATCTGAATGCCCGTGGTTCCTTCCAATCCATTACCTCTACTGGAAATTTTCATGGAGGGTGCACACACAGTTGGGAAAGGCTTTAATAAAGAGATAAGGGACCTGGGCATTATGAATAATTGGTTAAAATTTTGTGTTTTCTTTTGCGCTTGGAACCCACTAGAAGCTACTTGTACAGTAAGGGCAAAATGAACTTTGAACATGAATGGTTTGGAGACCACAGGATTTTATAAAATATTGCTAGCAAGGGAAAATGCCACTCAATTTGAAAGATTTAACTTTTTAGTATGATTCACTTCCACAGGAACATATACAGTTCATCATCATCTGTTTAATATTTTCTTAGGATAAAGTCCTTCAGATTGGACGATAAGTTCTTGTTTGTGATTGCTACTCAGATTCCACATAGTCTCTAATTTAATACATTTCAAGGATACAAACATTAAAAATTAAGTAGGATAAGAACTTTTTTGTGCAGTGGGAACATGCATGCTTTTGATTATGTTTATGTCATCATTTCCTAACAAGACATTTCCGTTACTTAAAACTTCAGTGGTAACATTACTTATGAGAAAGTAGACTGTTGTGAAGTTTTAAAGGTCAGCTGTGTTTTCAGTTATGTCTTAAGAAAAAATGTTTATTGTGAGATTAAGAAAAGTATCATTTTTATTCCTAAGTGACCATCAATTTTGACTGAAGTTTGTATTCCTAATAGTTAGAGGGAAAATGGGTGAAAATTATCCCCAATGGAGAATAAGGCCCTCCAAAACAAACACTGTCACTGTTGTCTCTGGGTTAAGTCAGTCAGATATAAATACCTGTATTTTGGGGGTAGATGTTGAATCCAAACAGGGACATTCTCAAAGAGCTTAAATTCTGTTAGGAGGAGGAGACAAAATTATTTAAAATAATACATAGAAGAAGATTGTCTGTGGTGTGGTATGTGATTCCTTCGGCACATGGGGGTAGAGCCAATGACCTAGTCAGTTAAAGGAGGAGTGTCACAGGGCAGTTGTGGAGAAGTGACTTTAAGGAATAGTGTTCATTTGGAATGCGAGAAAGAAAGGGGTAAGTCCACTGCCTTCATAGACACTTGAAGTGCTGTACTTAACCGAAGGAACCAGATGTGGTTTTTATACATTTGATGGGAGACATCTGTTCCATTATGTCGTGCCCACCCAAGTAGGAAGGTTTAGACTTTACTTTTCATAGTAAGCCTTCAGTCAGTCTTCTGGAAACCCATCTGGTTCTCCCTCAGTCTACCCTCTATGGAAAATCTAGAGGATCTGGCAAAGCTTATGGTCCAGTATTTAGTGAGCTTTTTTGGCTTAGTCAGGTGAG